CTCTGCAAGTTTCGTAAAATGGTGGCTGAAACTTTCTAAGAAACGAAATTGAACCTGAACTTCACTGATTGCGGCATATTACACAGCATAACTTGGTGATTTTGTTTAGAAAACGAGTAAAATACTTACCGTCGCAAAATGAATTAAAATTACAAGCAGATAGATATAGCTATAGAAAAGGGGACAACAAGAAGCATTGCCTTTAAGTGTTGCCACCTTTATACATTGTGACTATTTTTTTTACTAAACGACAAGATGGGGGATGTAATGATTTTGACATGGCGTATACAGAGACATAAAAGTGAAATAATTGACAAAATAAGTTGAACATTAAATAGATACTTAGTTAGTGCAGTTATTGGATATTGTATTTATCTAAACAAAACAAATTACAAAAAAGAAATTTTGTTTCTGATGAAGAATTCATTTTGACTATTTAAAAAATGGGCGGGGTCCCGGTAGTACTGGCGAAACGCGCTTTTCATATTGGCAGAGTAGCCCCTCCTTCTAACTAGTAATGTGGACGTCCTTATGACTAGATTATGTGTTTGTTCCATAACGACTATTTTCACATGTAATTCACATCCAGTCATGTGAGTTATTTTGTTTTATATAGATTTTGCATTCTCTATATACATCACTTTGGTTTCAGAATTATCTATACTGGTCTGATGCAAGTAAAAGCAGTGTCAATGCCGTATCTCTGAATAACAACACATCCCACATTATGTCAGTAAACACGACTGGTGCACCACGTACCATCGTTATGTTTGACGAGAGTCGTCAGCCACAGGGTGAAACGGGTAATTATTTCATTTTGGTATGTGTGAAACAGGTAATTATTTCATTTTGGTATGTATGAAACAGGTAATTATTTAATTTTAATTGGTATGTGTGAAACAGGTGATTATTTAATTTTGGTATGAGTGAAACAGGTAATTATTTCATTTTGCTTTGTGTGAAATAGATAGTTATTGCATTTTGGTATGTGTGAAACAGGTAGTTATTTCATTTTGGTATGTGTGAAACAGGTAGTTATTTCATTTTGGTATGTGTGAAACAGGTAGTTATTGTATTTTGGTATGTGTGAAACAGGTAGTCATTTCATTTTGGTATATGTGAAACAGGTAGTTATTTCATTTTGGTATATGTGAAACAGGTAGTTATTTCATTTTGCTATGTGTGAAACATGTAGTTATTTCATTTTGGTATGTGTGAAACAGG